GTAATTGATTAAAATGCATCTGATTATACTGAAGTAATACGCTATTAATATTACTAAATTGTATTTGTAGACTAAAATCCAGGATAAAAAAACAATGATCTATGACTGATATTTAAAGAACAACCAGAAAATCATCAACTTCTTAGATGAAATTTTAACATAAAGGACGGTGTTTATAAAGCATACAGAAAACACAACACGCCAATCTACACTAATTAATATTCGAATGATTTCTTGCTGTTTTCAAATAAATGCATATAACTGTAAGCAAGATTATTTCGATAAATTTAGAAAAAGGAAAAAACATTTAACTACAATGAAAACAGAATACGAATTACGACAAAGAAACAGAGTTTATAGTAATACATTGAATCACGCATAAAGAAGGTAAAAGATAATTTGCTTTCATCCGCCTTGTAACAATGCAATCAAATGAAAAATAATTAAAATATTCTTCAAATTAACTGATGAATATTTTCTTATAAATAGTAAGTTATCTAAAATTGTTAATAGAAATAGAATTAAAATTATTCTAACTAGCATGGAAACATAGAAATAAATATAAAACCCCATTAACTTTAATAATATAAACAATAAGAATAACTCTATTAGTAATAATACTTATAATATAATTTTGTGCAAATGTAGAAATAGAAACAAGTATTTAGTCAGTGATATACTATATACATCTACGGTAAATAATAGTTATGATGAAATAAATAGGATCAGCAGAAGAAAATCTTAAAAAATATAATAATGAAATATTTTAAAAATATACCAGTAATACAGCTCGAAGTATATAGAGAAAAACAGTCTAATATTGTCTGGCTTGGTTTGGTTTGGTTTGTTTTATAGCATATCAACCTCAATGGGTTATTTAATGCCGACAAGATTATTATTGCTAGCAAAAATTTCCCAAAAATTTATTGCTGATAATATATTCCCTTCAAAAATGTATTGCTGATATTGAAACCTTTTTTTACACCTTTATAGTGTTTTAACCCAAATTTGTGAGTTAACTATTTGCCCATAGGTGGGAGTCTAACAGGTGCTACCACCAAAGGTCAAGTTGAAACTGGGAACACCAGCAATTAAGAGGTGGTTCCACGCTCATCAAAACCTCCTGATCAGAGGCCTTGCTGTTGGTCGTCATACTCAGGATGGCCTAAAAATGTCATATGGAACGAAAATTAGTAACTGCCGACAACGAGGTTCGAACGTGACACGTTGTACTTATGAGTATATATTTTCCGCCAAGTGTTTAAATAGCGGTGTCAGGTTACTGACTGGAGTTGATTAGGAAGTGACTGCTAAAAAGAACTATCCAGTCGAATTAGTGTGAATTATTGTGCGTCGATGAGTTGGGTTTTGATTTAAAATTTACCGGACGTTAATCCGAGCCGCGCTGCTAACAAGGTATTCACAGAAATGGTTAATTATATTTGGTTGACTTTTACTTTTTGGTTCTTGTTAAATATTTATTTGCGGTTGTAATTAAATACTGTTTTATCTTAACATTGAAGTTTTGAGTTACACTTAAGCATTGGCAGCCACCATACACCACAAAAATAGTTTTGGATAACAAAAGGAGAATTTATCTCACGCAGTGTTAAATGGCAAATAATAAAACTATCACATCGATGCAACAGTAAAGACTGCAGACTATGCTTAGTAGATACATCACAAATTAATAGTTTCAAAAATCGAAATAAATTTCTAAATGAAAAGAATGAATTAATAGAGTGGGGAGATTTACCATCATTCCCTTCCAGAGATGACAACAGATATTGCATTTTTTATAAAGAACATTTCCATTTTCTTAATACTTTGCTTAGCTTTTCGAAGGCCTCATTTACGATTTCAATTCGCCTTCGGCCATCTAGTTTACATTTTCTGTCCTCTCTTAAAGCACAAAATAGATATTTAACTTTCGTATTTGCTTGCTTTTGAGGGTTCCAATTTGGGCGTAAATATTGAGCTGTTCGAGTTATTAATAATGAGCACCCTACATTAACTATTTGCTCAAGTGCCTGTTTTAATTTTCTGATATACACCCTTGTGCAAATTAATTGAATCAAAACGAATAATTCCGTTATTATTTACTTTTTTCGTATTTGTCCAATGAAATATGAACCAGTGCACATGTTAGTACTTCGTATGTCCATTTTACAAAGTCATTCCTTGCAGAGTGACAACAGATTCTCGATTGGATTTAAATCAGGAAAGTTTCGTGCCAATCTATAGTACTTTGATTTGCTCACTGGTTAGGCTTGCCAGTGTGTTCGTGCAGCGTTATAATTTTCATATGCTTCCCTGGAGTAACGTCTATCACAGACAATGGTCGTAGGGACAACGGATCGACAGTCGAGACAATAGTGTATGGACGGGATAAAAATCTGATGCAATCACAGATGACGGAATGTTTTAAAGTCCACACAAATTCAATCATTCACCCCGAAAATAGATTTATATTATGGAATACCACTGCAATTGACCTAATCGAAGGAAAAATAGAAATCGATTGCACACTGTCATTCCAGTGGGTCTAAAACTGATCGTATAGTGAAAGAAAGGAAATTGACGTTAAGCGTTTGTTTCTCTTGATTTGTACAAGGGTGTATTTCATCGCAGTAAATGTTGTAATGTTGTATAGACAATTTGAATCAGATAATGTGTATTTAATGTTACAATTTTGTTAATAACAAAACCGAAACTTATAATCCCTTATTCCATTAACATAATTGAATTAAATATAATTGAACAAATTCAAAATGTTTTCTAAAATCAATTTTAAGTCATTAATGGAATTATTTTTTTTTTAAATAGACGTCATCATCAAATACCGAACTTTTATAGACAAAGAAAGTACGATTTTTTAATAAGCTATAGTCTACAATATTCAAATAACTACCAGTAAAATTCTACAATTCCCTAAAAACATTTAAATAGGCTCGAATCCCTTGCACAGGGGACAGAAAAATTAGAAGAGAACTGATAAAGGTTGTTTACACAGTTGCTGAAGATGAGAAATAACATTGTGCTGCAATGCGCCTTCAGGTCGAAACAGCTCTAATGATGATGTAGGATTGGATGTGAAAAAGATACACGTAAATGTAAGTACGGATTTAAATAAGAGAAATGAATTATTTTATATATATATATATATATATATATATATATATATATATATATATATATATATATATATTATATATATATATATGTGTGTCCCAACGTTTATTTATTCGGAATTACGTGATAGACTGTGTGAGGGTTACTAAGAGCAAGAGAAAGGATTTCATTATTCGTTTTTGTTTACTTTTTTCTGCATCGTGTGCTGCTATGATTAAACTACAAAAATGTCGATATTGTGTCTGCAAAGCTGTTTCCTCGTTCCGGAAATGAGACACCGGAAATAAGGCCCTTGAACAAAAAGGCAAAGGATAGGCACTACGTCCGTCGTCTTCTGTTACTTCTCTTTCATCCGCTACTGCACTTTTCTACCCTTTGATATGATTGCCTACACGTATATTAATGATCGCCCTTTGATATGCTTAAATCAACTGACGACTCATTCTACAATCACGCCGCTCTTAGGACAGCGTCGCCCAACCTCATTGTATTTCTCTGTTTTCCGACGAATACGCAAAATGAAACAAAGACCAGAGCAGAAATTTGACGTGTAAACAAATGATTAGGCGTGTTGTTTGCACGTTGAAGAAACCTTTCAATTTTGCACAAATATTTGCAATAATTTTAATTGAAAATTTCTGTTGATATATTTCATTAGCAAGAGTTTAATGAACTCCAGAAAATATTTATTAAGCGTTTCAGAAATGCTACCTACTATTCAATTGTTCTGTTGTATTTTCCTTTTTATATGTGCCGTGTCCCTTCAGAACCTAGGCGATCATGGCTCTCCACTTCCTCCATATCCCTTGTAGCTCTCAATAAGTTTCGTCTCTTTGCTATTTCCTACAAGTCCTGTTCTGTCGTCCACTTTCTTAAGTTCTCTAGGCATATCATGAGTTGCTTTCCTTTGTCTCTCTTTACCTCTATTCGACCTGTAAGTCTCAGATTCTCCAAGCCGTCCTTTCTCATTGCGTGTCTTACAAATATCAGCTGCTTCTTCCTGATGCTAACTATAAGCTTCCTCTTTGTTTGCATTCTCTCCAAAACCTCATCGTTGCTCACACGCTCGGTTCATGATATCTTTAGAATCCTTCTGTAGAACCATACCTCCATTGTCTCGAGTCTCTTCTTCATCTTTGCGGAGATCGTCCAACATTCGCTGCCGCAAAGGAGGACAGATGTTACTTTACCAAAAAAATCCTCCTGTTGCATTAAACATTTCCTGTTTCCAAAAGTATTCGAAGTAAAAACAGCTCTGAGCATTGTCTTCTACGTTTCAAAAAAAGAATTTCAGCAATTAATAGATTAAACTGCCTCGACGAGATCAACATACAGTGAGAAGCGATTTTACTAAATTAATAATGAATTCTGAGACTAGTAGTAAACCTTTAATCGTCCGGTTCCCTCGACTCTCCGATCTTTTGAACAGGAGTTTATCCATTGGTTCCTATTTTGGATTGAATTTCCGGTTCCTTCTAATGGCTTCTCATTCTCTTTCACATCCAGTAGCCCCTTCCGTGTGAGACTTATCGTCTTGATTCGGGTGAATTGATTTTTTACAAATGTTACATACCGTACCTATGAACACTAATGGGTATGTCCCAATAATCTTAAATACGTTTGACACTATTGTAAGTGGGGTTAATATGCTGTCTAAGTAGTCCACCACTAGCAGTGGTTTACCTACTTGACGCCGCTGGCGAGTATTGTATTTTGTTATAAAGATTATCATTTCATTTCCAACCTCCGTTTTAGTTATTCCTCTTTCAGTAACCTTTTTTTAGGTTGCAACACTATCTATATATCTAGCTAGATAGCTCCCAGTTTGAATATATCTATGTCCCAGTTTGATTATATCTATGTCCCAGTTTGAATCTATCTATCTATCTATCTATCTATCTATCTATCTATCTATCTTATATACCGTACCTATGAACACTAATGGGTATGTCCTAATCCTCATAATTACGTTGGACACTATTGTAAGTGGGGGTAATATGCTGTCTAAGTAGTCCTCCGCTAGCAGTGGTTTACCTACTTCACGGCGCTGGCGAGTATTGTATTTTGTTGATGTTATTTAAGATTACCATTTCATTTCCAATCTCCGTTTTCGTTATTCCTCATTCAGTAACCTTTTTTAGGTTACAACAGAAAAAATTAACGAAGTGGGTGTATTGGACCTTTTTTAAATAACATTTAATTCAGTCCAATATTTCCCTCAGTCAATCGATGTTATGCGTGTGGTCCCTGTCGCCTTGCTTCCGATACATGGATGTTACAATCTCCATATAGGATGCATGAGATACTACCTAAATCATCCATGGGGCCGTATCACATTGTCGTTCTTTCGCTTCCAATACCAGATTCGATTATGGGGTTACGTGTTCTCAATCGATTGTTGCGACTGATCCCAGATCTATCGTCTGGCGACCTTAACTTTCTTGAGATCTGGCGTGAAATCCTTGAATTATGTATTTTAAAGATCATACTATACATACATAAGTTTGACAACGTGAGGAAAGTAGTGTCATACGAATTTACGGTATTTATGGCAATGTTCTAAATGTAGATTAGATGTGACACCAGACCGTATGTATGGAAGAACATAGTAAGAATCAAAATCACTACTCAGTAGTAATTGATCTAGCGAGACAAATTTTCTTACTATTACACCACGTTGGTATTTATGATCTGCTAGTCTCTGGTATTAAGCGTTATCGTCTATTCTAATAACATATCTTGTTGACATTTGCTATAGAAAAAGCAGGTGATGCTCTGTCGATTCTCTACGAAACCACTTTTTCATAACAGAAGCAGATGTTAGAACGTAGACAAAATGTAAAATGAATAAATACAATTAAAAATTAATTATAATAATAAAGTTTAATCTAAACAGCTTGAAGCAATCAGATCTACTACACATTTTTATCCTCAAATTAAGAATAGTTTCACTTCCGATTAAGTCGAACATCAAATTTAAAAATAAAAGCACAATTTAAATCACGATAAATTTCAAATTAACAAAGGCCGAATTTAAAATTAAATTTTTATTAGTTGCAAAATGATACCTAATTAGCATAAAACAAAAGAATGTACTGTATAATTACAGGCAGGTGATTGAAAATGAACCATTTAACATATTTTCACATTTGCAGATATTTTTGTGCCAACCTCGGGGTAAATATTTCTGTAAATGATTGTACATTTGAATGCACGCCCGTTGGGTCATTGAGGACATCGCATCATCGATTACTTATTTGAGATAGCGTGGTACTGTGCCTAAGCAACTTCTGCAGCTGCGGACATCATAGTTTAAAAAAAAATGAATACCAATATTTTCTAAAAAAAAAAATCATAAATAGTTTCCTTCATTTGTGAAGAAATCCTGAAAGGTTCATTAAAATCGGACAATTATCTTATTTTTTCAAGAATTTCCAAATCAATGTGTTTTTTTACGTGACAGAAGGCGCTATGACAGTAACCATAAATATTACGTCGACCGCTGACTAAAAAAAAAAAAAGATTCCACTAAAATTTCGAACGTGCTAGAAAGGAGTAAAAAATTTAATAAAGCAATAAAAATACTTTGGTTTTTCCTCTTCATAACAACATTAACATTTTAAATGTTAAAACTGTTTTTATTAAGTTTATGGGTTTTTTGTTTATTTCTTCAGTGAAAAAGTAGAGGTACGTACTCTATAGTAACTGAATACATAATATATATCGGAAACTAACAATCAGATGGAGAACGGCCATAGTTTTTTAATCATTTCACCCCAAAAAAGGCGATAATGCTACTAAGACACCAGATGATAAGTACATTAAATATTAGTGCAGTAGTTCCCAACCTTATTTTGGATATACCCCACTGAAGAATATCTAAAATGCGCCCCGCCCCCACTGTGACATATAATTCTAATTATTCAAAAAGTGAACTTATATTCACGCGGAGGAAGCCTAAAAGGACATTAAATTAACTTTACTGAAGAAATTGAAATTGCTTATATGGAACTGTATTATCATTTAATTTTAAAATTTTAAATATTTATTAGAATATTGTGTTACTAATATATATATATATATATATATATATATATATATATATATATATACAAGTACATACTTAATTATAGATGTATATACATACAAAGTAATATTTCTATGTGTCAAACAATCACTTGGTCAAGATAAACACTCAGTTGTGGAGCAAGCTGAGTGAAGAATGATTCAAATTGAGGAAGAGAGTTATTTATGGTGCAATGGAGCATCTCTTTATGCTAAAGTGGGATAGTCCATTGCTTGGGCTTTGATTGGCTGCTGGTATCTGAGTGGAAGTATTTCTATATAAATACCAGCTTAATTTCAGTTAGTTTGCAGGGTTTGTATTAAGTTACAACCTGCTTTATTTTTTGTCTGCCAGCTGGACGCTAGCTGGAACTCTTACGCCGGTAAGTGTCGTTTATTGTATTGTTATTCTACATCTCCTTCCCCCCCATCGCGTGTTGGTAGTGGCCTTTGGGGAGGGATTTGTTCCTTTAAACCTGGCTGGTTGTGTGGAAGTAGTCTGACAATGCCCGAGGGGTTTTTGTCCGTGTTATTGTAGACGGCTGAGCAGTGTTTGATGGTATTCCAGCGTCGAATGTTTGTGGCAATGGTGTAGGGATCTCAGGTAAGGCACTAGGTCTTGGAACTGGAATTGTTGGTGTATCCAGTTTCCTGAGAAATCGGCGATTTCGTAAGGTAATTCTACCTGATCCGTCAACTCTGATACGGTATTGGTGGTTGGGGAGGATTTCAATGACCTGACCTGTTGTGTCCCATCGACGGGTTGTTGGTCTTTGTAGTGCCACTATTTGTCCTTTTGAAGGGGTTTAAAGTGTGTCCTGTTCTGTTGTATCTCTCTATGAGACGAGCGTTCCGCCGGGACAGACTTATCTCACGATTTTGGGCTGCGGTTATCCACTTCGCGTGTGGCTTATAGAGTGTGGGGTGGGATGGTATGTAGTCACGTAGTCGGCGGTGGAGTAGTAGTTGAGCAGGGGGATAGCCCAATGTTTTGAATAGGCGTATTCCTGTATTGGAGGATGGCTCTTGCTGCACGGTTATTATCCAACGATCCTTGGGCTCCTGTGTTGCCATTTATGATTCTTTTGGCTGTTTTGACAGCGAGCTCTGCTCGACCATTGGATTGTGGGTAACCAGCAGATGATAACCTTTGTTTAACAGCCCAGTCTTGCAAAAATTGCTTGAATGGAAGAGATGTGAAGGGTGGCCCACCATCACTGCTGAGTTCCTCAGGAGCGCCGTAGGTTTGAAATATGTCTCGGCAAATCAGAAAATAATCCTTGAGGCATTAACTTCTCCGTGGCTCAAGTGGTATAGATTCAGCCAGCCCGTTAACCTGTCAGCGCATGCTAAGTAACCATGGTTTCCAACATGGAAGATGTCCATGACGATTTGCTGAAATGGCCAATCAGGAGATGGTGTCAAATTGATTGGCTCTTTGGTTGACTCAGGGCAATTTTGAGCAGAACGTACAACCTGCTCTAATGTTACGAATTGAAGCATTCATCCCGGGCCAATAAACAGATTCATTGGCACGTGCCTTCATGCCAACTTCTCTGATGTGCAGAATGTAGGCTATGTAATATTTTGCGCGTTGTGAGGTGGGGATAACAATTCTTTGATCTAAGAGCACTAACCCGTCGTCAACACTTAGGCGGTGCCTCACTTCCCAATATTCGCGGATTTCAGGTGCAGTGAGGATGCGCGTTCTTTGGAATCCGTTTTGTATTACTTCAATTAATTTTTTGTATTGCGGGTCGCTGCGTCCCGCCGTACGGATAACGTCTGGTGAGATGAGCTCCAGGTTGTCATTTGCACCGAATGTTGCTAATAAGGTTGTTGATTTGACCCAGTCATCCATGTTGTCAGACTCTATGATGTCTGATTGAGAGGGTTCAGCAGTGAATACATTTAGGAGTGCCTGTGAGATGTCTGCTGGGTTACGAGAGACAGCATCGGAGGCTCTGTGCCATTTCCCAGGGCAGTGCTGAATGGTGAATCTGTACCTGAGGGTTTCTCCTTTAACCTGAATAATCGGGGGTTTTGGATTTTACTAAGGTCTCTATCTCCGAATAATCCTTTTAGTGGCTCATGATCTGTAACCACTATGAGATTCGGGCAACCCATTACAAAAATCCGACATTTTTCCAATGCCCATGCAATTGCTGCTGCTTCGCCTTCAATAGGTGCATATCTGCGTTCAGCATCAATGCAGAATCTGCTACCAGCAAATATCAGGCGCCAACCTTCAGGGCAGCAAACTGGGGCTTTGTCAGTGGTGCATGAGCAATACTTCTGCAGAAGTAGGAAGCCCATTCCGTCTTTGCTCCAATCTGGGGCAAGGCAGGTTATTCTTTCTTTTGAAATGTTGCGATGCATTTTCGGACTAAGTCAACTATGACCTTCTTTGACTGCTGAATGCATCCTCAAGGCTTTTATTCCATGTAAAGTGTGAGTCTCGTTTTACGAGATCACGAAATGGAAGCATGACTGGGCTTAGTGAGTATGCCCAAGCGACTTGGTTGACCAGCCCAAACCATGATCTAGCATCGGTGAGTGTTTTTTGGTATTGGGAAGCTCAATATTGCCTCCAGCATGGATTTAGAAGGGTTACACCAGAAGATGTTATTTGGAGGCCCCAAACTGCACCGTGTCTTGGCAAAATTGGAATTTTTTCTCTATTTATTACGATGCCGTTTTTGCACAATGGAGGAGAAAATCGAAGGTGTGAAAAAGGCTCCTTCGATGTCAGAGTCATAGAGTAGGGTGTCATCCACGATTTTTACTTTGCGGGGATGTCTTTTATTACTTCATCATACCTTCGGGTGTAGGCATCGCCAGATGCTAGGTAACCTTGTGG